TGATGGAGGAAGAAGCTGGATTGCTGTGGGTACTGGCCAGATAATGCCAAGGACTGCTGGCCACTGTGAGGCATCAGAAAAGGCAGAGAGTGGGCTTTAGACTCTGCCAGGTTCCAACATTAAACCATCACAGCTGCTGCCTGGACCTCAGATTTTGGCTCTGGTGAGGAAACCCATTTCAATTGTCTCAAGCTATCAAGTGTGGGATAACAACGGCTGTGTTAGAAAACCAGTGCACTAATCAATTGGGCTATCAGAGAATACTTAAGAATACAATCATCTGTCTGACACATGCAGCTAGACATGAATCAATACATTGATACACTACTCTAAAATTAGGTATGTATTTTAGGTGTAACAGTATCTATGCATCTCTAAATATGCAGTTTATGCAGTTCGAATAGCATGCAAATGAGATAACTGCCAATAACAATTGGCTGCTTTTATTGTTATTTCCTAATGGATTTATAAATCCTGGCGACACTGCCCTGTCAGCAACCAGGGAGGCCTGGACGGGTCCCTCTGGGCTGCTTTGGGACAGGAAACTCATAGTAGTCCAGGATATGGATTTACAATGCTTTATTTTGCCAGTCTAGTTCAATTAGACTAAGGTTTATTAAATGCCTCATCCTGAGAATCTCCATTTAAATCTGTTCAGTTCAAACCAATCAAACCAACGCAAGCAGCATCTGCGGGGCCCTTCGCTGGCAGTCACTCTGTTGTGAGCCTGTTTCTTAGCCTCGGTCTTCACGCTCTGTCTCTGTCCCTCAGGCCTCACAACAAAGATATATTTTGAAAACCTATTGTGAAATGTAACGAGAGACTGATAACAAGACCTTAGTAAAAGAGATGGCTGGGATGGGAACAACAGTTTTCTTTTTCTACATTGCCCTGCTTACTTAATAGGCTTTCATATCCTTAAGAAACCGAGCTTCTTGGAGTTAGGGATTAGCCTCCGAGTGTCATTTCTCTCCTACAAAGAAGTGTCAGAATGGCAGAGATACAGTCTCCTGGGCAGTAATGAGGAGCCCGCTTGTACTGGACTGGCTTTTCAGAACCATAGCAATTAGCCTTTTTTTCCTTTTGGTCCTGTATTCCGGGCACTTCTTTCATGCGGACACGCAAACTTCCCATCCTGTGGGCTAGGTCCCACTAGTGGCAATACCTGGTATCTTGTTTATTCTGGCTGTTGCTGAAACGGGTGCATTAATTCACTTTTGACTTAGGCTGAGACATAAATAATGAGAATTCAGCATTATTGCCCTTTTAATTAATACTTTTATTTCTAAAATATGTTTTGAAAGGATTTCACTGTGCAACTTAGGCTAGCCTCAGCTGCTGGAGTGTTAGGGTTATAAATAAGTACCACCGTGCCCAACTTTAATTTAAATTCTTGTGTGTGTGTGTGTTAAAATGTCATTGTATTTGTCAGAGCCAGAGATGTAGCTCACTTGGTTGAATGTTTGCCTCGAATGCCTGAAGTTCTGGGTTCTGTTCCCAGCACCACATAAATCAAGTATGATGGTTTATATAATCCAGCACTTGGGCTGTGGAGGCGGGAGGATCAGAAATTCAAGGTCATCCTCCGTATATTATATCCTCTGTTATTGCAAGTTTGAAACCAGTTTAGGCTACATGAGCTCTGCCTCAAGTAGTTTTTCTTTGCTGTTTTGATTCAAGAATGAAAACTTATTTGTATAAAGAAATATCTAGTTTTTGGACTGCATGCTTGAATAACTTTTTAAATTAACATCATCAAGACCAATACTACAGCACAAACACACACACACACACACACACACACACACACACACACACCCTCCTTCAAAGCAGACAGGATTGCGTCTATGTTGCTTTCTTCTCTCTTTCTCTAATCTAAATTCTTGATGCAGTGTGATGGGGCAGGCTCTTGGGGCTGTTGTGTACATTGATCATGTACACAACATGTGTATCATGTACACAACATGTGTATCATGTACACAACATGTGTATCATGAATCCACACTGTGCTGCCCCACAGAACACTTTATTGCCCAGTTAGTTGTATTTATTTTTGGCTGTCCCACAAAGGAAAGCTCCATATGCCTCTCCTTTTCCCTCCCACTTTGAGTCAATATTTATTTTTAATTCTGCACCCCGACCCGGGTCTAGGCTCCAGCTGTTCTGCAGACAATGGTGTTATTGTGTCTTTGAGCTGGACCCTGGACCATCTTGGTCCCAGAGTCTCCTTCATCAAATGGCCTAGGTCATAACCAGAACTGGGTTTGTTCTAACTAAAACACCTAAATCTTTTCTTAAAAGATTTATTTATTTTTATTTTATTTGCAAGGGTGTTTTGACTGCATGCAGGTCTATGCATCACATGCATGCCTGTTGTCTGTAGAGGCCAAAAGGGGGCATCAGATCCTCTGGGACTGGTTGTGGACAGTTGTGAGCCACCATGGGGGTGCTGGGGATTGAACCTGGGTCCTCTAGAAAAATAGCAAGTAATCATAACCAGCCCTTGAGCCATCTCTCCAGTCCCACATCGGAACCCTCTCCTGCCGTGTGTCTCTCCTGTTCATCTATGAACGATAGGGCATTCGTTGTGTTCTTCGATTGTTTATGTCCACACGTCTACGGCATTCTGAATGTTGGCTCTGTAATCTACAGCACTGATTCTTTGGCATGTCCGCCATCCAAACCTTCATCCATGTCCCCAGGAAGATGACAACTAAACTTGAGACCAGACACTGGCCACTAGGGGCAACCCTGCGGCCTGACTGTGCGGTCACCACACCTTGACAGTGGCTCACAAGTCAGGAGCTCTATTCTTGTCTGTTTCAGGGGTAACCTTGGCAGGTTTGTCAAATACTGCGTGACAGTCAACAGTCTGGGCTTATTTCATTCTTCTGACGTTTACCCGGTTACGCTGCCCTTTCTCTTAAGTAAATCTCATTAGGTCAAACCTTAAATTGGAAGGGAATTAGTCCTGGAGTCAGTGGGCATTATAAACGAAGGCTCCATCTTCTAGAAGTCCTCAAGGACTTGCTGGTCGTTCTGAAATGATTAATCAATTATCACACTCGGTCCAACTTGCTTTGGAAGTTGGGGTAAGATGTACCCCTTTCTGCTCTTCTAGCTTCTTCTGATTCCTCAGAAACTTCCAGACACCTAGTCATAGACTCTTGCTGGACCTTCATTTGGTCTGAGGCTGCCGAGAACTGAGTTCAAAGGACCCTGAGCTAGGATCAATGTCTCCACCCAGATCTATGACCCACTGGACTATCTCAGTTCCTAGGCCCTGTCTCTGTCCCCTCACTTCTTGTGCCCTCATGTCTGGCCCCCACCCCTTGGTTCCTGTCTCATCCTGTGTACTGGCACTTCTTGTTTGAGATCCTTTGCTGTGCTTTACTACATAGAAATAAACTAGTCCCTGCGTAGTTCCAGTGCCTTCTGGCGGCCGCTAATCTCCCCGGGTAGGGTTTGTTTCCTGTTTCAGTCACATTTGCCCCGCAAGGCTGTGCATTTCAGCTCCTACGCCGAGTCTCTTCCTAAATGACCCGTGAGTGTGCCCTTATGCCTGCATGAGCGCTTGTCCTAATGTTCTCACACAGCCTGGAAGTGCCACATGAATGCCTAAGTGTTCCAAAAGTATTCGTATAAGTAAGCATTTTCAGAAGGGAAGCTAAATGTTAATTAAGAACCGGCTTAGTTGGGACTTCAGACTCAAGACCTCTGAGAAAGGAGACCCAGCCCTCTTCCTGAGCCCTGCTTGCCGACTGTACCACCCTGAACAAAAGGATCATTGTTTTGTCTTTTATTGACTTTCCCTTTGGCATCTAAGAGTGGAAGCCTGCAATTGTGCCATGCTCCCTCCCCCGCTTTCATTTTAATCAGTCTGGATTGGCTTAAGACCTTCTCACAGCCAGACATGCAGAGGTCACATAAATCTTCGCCCGGCCCAGATATGGGGTGTGGGGTGGAGGCAATAATGTCTTCCGCTTGCTTTAGGCTGAGTTCAAGGATCTACCTGCACTGCTTTGACAGGTCTGTGTAACAGGGGGCATCTCACAACACTTGCCTTGCAGTCTCACAGGGAGACTTTAATATTAATTGAATATTAGCATGTGCATGGGTCATTCCTTGCCTTCTTCAGCCTCTATTTGTTGCCTTGTTGTTACTGTGCACCAAGGACAGTGCCCATGCCGTGAAGGGTAAGGAGAGCCATGGTCATGGGCCAGGGACTAGAGTCCTGTCTTCCAACAGCAGGGTGCTGAGAGAAGGAGGGGCTCCATAGAATCTTTGCGGCAGGCCTGGTCCACAGACACACCATCATTGTGTCTACTGTCCACTAGCCTGTGTGCCCCGAGGGTATGCAGTGTCTGCTTCTTTTCAGGTGACCTGCGAGTGTGATCCAAGCTCAGCACCATCTGGGAGAAGCTGTTTGTTAGTGACGGGGGTGGTAAGCAATCAGCGGTGCTGAATTTGCACACCCGAATATGTCAGCAGGACTCACTGGACATGTGGGGGCGCTCTGCCTTCCTCAGGGGTCCCTCTGAGTCCATTCTTCGCTAAAAGAGAGAGACAATCATTTGTGTGGGAAGAGCTGTAATTCATAACCCACGGGGCCTACTTATTATGCAGGGCTCCCGGTAGCATCCTGGCAGCACAGACCTGGCGGGTTCTGGAGTATCTGGTTGCCAGCCCAGGACAATGCGCATACACTACTCTGCCACTCCACTTCCAGCCCATCAAAGGCAGCTCCCGTGGTGACTGCCTGCTCCTTCTCTCCTGGGAAAGATGAGTCCGGTGACCAAACACAGAGATGGAAAATCAGCTTCAAGATAACTGTGCTTGCTGTTGCCTTGCTGCTGGTGCTGGCTCTCCTGAGTGCCAGACAGGCAACACTGCTGGTTGCAGCACTGCACCATTTTCTTTACTGCTGACTGCTATGTGCAGCTCATGCAGGCCCTGAGGTCTTCCAAAGCCAACCCTGAGTTTTACATCTTGTTCTACAGCGCTAAAGAAGCGCCTGAGATACCTCGGTGCTTTCCAAAGAGCGTCTCGTGAAGACACCATTGTTACCATCTCTGGACTTCAGAACAAGCGATTAATTGTGAGCTTGAACTCTGACAGGTGAGCTTTGGGAGGCGTGGTCTCAGAGACTTTGTCCTTATCCTAACTGGCTCTCCTATTGCTGTGATAAATACCGTGATCCAAAAGCAACTTGGGAAGGAAAGGGTTTTATTTGGCTTAGCTTCTGTACCACAGTTTATCACGGAGGGAAGTCAGGGCAGGAACTCAAGGCAGAAACCTGGATGCAGAGGCCATGGAGGGCTGCTGCTTACTGCCTTGCTTCCCCTGGCTTGCTCAGCCGAATTTCTTAAGCAGTCCAGGACCACCTGCCCACAGATGGCCTCACCAACAGTGGTCTAGGCCCTCCTTCATCATTAGCAATCAAGAAAATACTCAACAGACATGGCCACAGGCCAATCTAACGGAGGCCATTCCACCGTAAGGAACGAGGCACACTCTTGCCAGGTGTGTCAAGCTGACATTCAGTATGGGCTATCACCATCCTTGAGACAATCTCATACTCTGGTGGCTGTTGACAAGGTCCCAGGTTTGGGGCAGTTACAACTGGTAATGACTGGTACTACAGTTTTATTGGGGGAAGTTTCTGTGATTCTTCCTAGTAAAGTCTTGAAAATAACCTTGCTCTGTGCTCTCCCCCCCCTCCATGCACGCGCGCGCACACACACACACATGTAAACACACACCCCCACCTTGAAAAGAAAGCTTGCTTTGTAGAGACGGAACGAAGAACAACCCAAACGCCAAGCCACCAGCACTTTCTCAAAACTAAATATAAAGTATAAATAGAGAGCAAAACAGGAAATGGTGGCTTGCTGAAAACGAGAAATACTGTAACCACCCCCGGGAAGTGCCTTTCCCTGCACTACAGAACACAGGTTCAGAGACACAGTGAGCGAAAAGTCCCTGGCAGCTGTGTCCTTAGCAGACACGTGTTTTTCTTTTTTTCTTTTTTGCCTACAATATTGCAATGAACTTTTTTTGGAGGTTTTTATAAAAATTGATTTTTAGTGAGCTCTACATTTTTCTCTGCTCCCCTCCCTGCCTCTCCCCTCCCCTTCAACTCTCTCCCAGGGTCCCCATGCTTCCAATTTACTCAGGTGATCTTATCTTTTTCTACTTCCCATGTAGATAAGATTCATATATGTCTCTCTTAGGGTTCTCACTGTTGTCTAGGTTTTCTGGGATTGGGATTTGTAGGCTGATTTTCTTTGCTTTATGTTTAAAAACCACTTATGAGTGAGTACATATGATAATTGTCTTTCTGGGTCTGGGTTGCCTCACTCAGTATGATGTTTTCTAGATTAATCCATTTGCCTGTAAATTTCAAGATGTCATTATTTTTTTTCTGCTGTGTAGTACTCCATTGTGTAAATGTACCACATTTTTCTTATCCATTAGTCGGTTCAGGGGCATTTAGGTTGTTTCCAGGTTCTTACTATGACAAACAAAGGTGCTATGAACGTAGTTGAGCACATGTCCTTGTGGTACAATTGAGCATCCTTTGGATATATACCCAAAAGTGGTATTACTGGGTCTTGAGGAAGGTTGTTTCCTAATTTTCTGAGAAATTGCCATACTGATATTCAAAGGGGCTGTACCATTTTGCACTCCCACTAGCATTGGAGGAGTGTTCCCTTTACTCCACATCCTCTCCAGCATAAGTTGTCATCAATGTTTTTGATCTTGGCCATTCTTACAGGTGTAAGTTGTTTTGATTTGCATTTCTCTGATGACTAAGGATGTTGAGCATTTCCTTAAGTGTCTTTCGGCCATTTTGTATTCCTCTGTTGAGAGTTCTCTGTTTAGGTCTGTACTTTATTTTTTTTTATTGGATTATGTGTTCTTTTGGTGATCAATTTCTTGAGTTCTTTGTATATTTTTGAGATCAGACCTCTATCTGAAGTGGGGTTGGTGAAGATCTTTTCCCATTCTGTGGATACTGATGGAGGGTGATCTACTATCCACCTGAGCCTCAGCTCCTCTCCTCTAAGTACAGGGGCAGTAACGCTCGGCTTTGAACCACGTGAAAACTAACAGAGATGAAGTAGATGAATTTTGGAATGCCTGTTTTGGAAACACACAGATGCCATGTCTTCCTGGGGTGGTTCCTTCTTGTTGGGAAGTGCTTTTTTTTTTAACTGTGTATGAGTGTATACACACAAGGGGATGTGAGCATACCCTGGAGTGTGTGTGGAGGTCAGAGAACAACTCTGTGGAGATGGTTCTTTCCCAGCTTTTTGTGGATCCCAGGGATAGAACACGGGTTGCCAAGCTTGTGTGCTAAGTGTTTTTACCCACTAAGTCATGTAGCTGGCCCCAGAAAATGGTGAGTCCTGAGCTTGGGGCCACTACTAACAGATAGCAAACCAATGGCCTAGGCTGGAACCTGCTGCCTCAGTGCTGAGCAGTGGAAGAGTCCTGGATGCGGGGCAGGTTACCAGATCACTCGTTCAACCAGTTGGTGAGCATTTTCTGATTCCCAGAGATGTGCAGACACTCAACTCCCTGGAGGTGGAGCCAGATGCAAACACCTGTAATCCCAGCAACCAGAAGGCAGGGGCAGAAGGAAGACAGCAAGTTTGAAGTCAGCCCTGTCTACCTAGCAAATGCTAGGCTAGCCAGGGATATCCTGTCTCAAATGTCCAACTCAATCGAGCAAAGACCCAGAGCTCAAGTGTGTCGAGAGAGAGACGTGGGTCCAAATAAGAGGGCTCGCACATCGGTGCTACGAGAGAAAAAATCCGGCGACAGCATAGAGAAGGAATGGGGGATGGGAAGTTTCTGCTGGGGTAGTAGAGCTGTGGGAAAGGAGCCACTGCCACCCAAGACAGCTTCCTGAGGGCCATGATGCCTGTTGGAGAATAAGGCCTGACCTCTGTTGTGTAAAGCTGAGCCAAGGTGAGATAATATCCTTAGACAAATTGTGTGGGAAGCCCTTTACAGTCTCTGCTGCGGGAGGCTCGGTTCTAACCGTGAGCCCTTATTCTTCCTTTGGTTTAGATGGTGAGTAGGTCATGTAAGCCTCTGAAGGAGGTAAGAACGGGGTGTGAAATGTAGTACATTTAACAATGGAGTACTACTCAGCAGTAAAAAATAACGACATCTTGAAATTTGCAGGCAAATGGATGGATCTAGAAAAAGCCATATTGAATGAGGTGACCCAGACCCAGAAAGAAAAGTATAATATATACCCCCTCATAAGTGGCTTTTAGGAATAAAACAAAGAAAAACCAGCCTACAATACACAACCTCAGAGAACCCAGACAACAAAAAGGACCCTAAGAGAGACATACATAGATCTATATAAAAAAGAGAAAAAGACAAGATCTCCTGAATAAATTGGGAGCATGGGGGCCACAGAAGAGGGTAGAAGGGGCGAGGAGAGGAAGGGAAGGGAGTGGAGAAAAATGTATAGCTCAATAAAAATAATTTTAAAATATTTCCTTTAAAAAAGAGAGGAGATGTGGAGTCCAGGGGCTGCAGATTCGGGGTTTCTAGCTTCCATATTCTCCAGGGCCAGGGACACAGGGAGCTCCAGGCTGTGACAACCCAGGAATGGCAAGGTAGGGAGGAGCTGATGGGCCAGGTGTGCTGCAAGTGTGACTGTCCTGAACTCTTTGGTCCCATCCCTGAGATCCAGTAGTCCCAGAAATGTTCTGCTATGTCATGTGTGATGATCTCTTCTTCCTACTGAGAATTCAGCTCCCAAAGATAGGGCACAGGATCCAGCCAGGTGCTCCCAGTGACCTTGAACGTCTTCAGTGGATCAGGCAGGCAGGCTTGGCTGCAGCTAACCTATTGAAAGAAAGCCCCGTGATACTCCCCCAATCTTCCTCCACTCAGCACAAGGCTGGAGGCTTGTGAGGAACTGCTTTATGCCTCAACCTCTCTAGGTGACAGGCTGCAGGGCAGCTCGGCTGCATCACACCACCCCTACCGAGACATCGGCCCTGCTTTGTTTCTGCCTTGGTCTGAGTCAGAACCTGGGAACTCAGGGCTCTCCTTGCTTTCATTATGTGAGCCTGAATCGCTCCCTTAACTCGACATGAGCCTGGACTCAAGTATAAAACACCCATGTGTCTTTACCAGCTGCGTCTGTCAGTTTTGCTCCACGGGGTGTTCAGAAATCTGAACCTGTACCAATGGAGGGCAGGGAGGGCGAAGCAAGCTCAGAAGCATTGAGTAACATGTCTGTCTGTCAGCTAGTCAAAAGTAGAGTTTATGTGAACCTGGTCCGTGGTCATTTTCACGGGTTCCTAGCACTATGCCTGGGGTGCCATCAGTGCCCATGGGCATAGGTGTGGTCTAGTCAGGTGACTCACAAGGATCAGAAGGCCTCCAGGTTAGTGTGAAGGCTCACACACAGTGAGCGTACAAGACTCATGAATGTAGTACTCACATGTTGTCCCATAATTTGCAATCTTTTCATGGTTCAGAGGCCCTTACTCCACCCACCTCGCCCACGCCAGTGCAGCTGACCCTGGCATGCAACAGCTGTGGAGGTCCGAGCCACTCTCTCCTCAAAGTTACACTTGATTTTATTACCGTTTGAATACAAACAGCGTTCAAGTTAGAAAACAGTGTGGAAAGAGGTCTCTCTCCAGCCCCCGGATTCTGTTTTCCTCCTCACCCCAGCACAAGGCAGCAGCTCCCGTGTAAGAACTCTCCACAGAGACTTCTCATATCTGTGCTTCACCATGAGAGGTGCATTCCGAGAACCCCTGTGAACGCCTGAAACATCAAGTAGTACTGTGTGTACAGTCTTTTTTCCTACACACATGCCCATGAGAAAGCCAAATTTATAAATTAAACACGGTAAGAGAGCAACAATAATAACTAACAACAAAATTTGACATGGTAATACGCTGTAGTAAGAGTTATGTGACTACGATCTTTCTCTCAATGTATCCTAATAGCTCATTGTATTATAGTGATAGTTTCAGAATGTGGGTAACTGATTTTCCCCAAAGCAAAACCATAGTTAAGCAGGGAGGGGCCCTGCAGGGATGTGTAGATGCATTTATATCTGCTTCGTTCTG